CAATACAACAAAATAGCATACATATCAAATCGCATATATATCAACATATGTGTAACTCCCATCTATTGAAAAAAATCCGCATTATTAACCGGTACACCTACTAGTTTTATTTTTTCGCATGCACCTGTTCAGTTTTTCCAATATCATTTATTGACTAGACTGTCTTTACTCATTGTATCTCCTTGCCTCCTTTGTCAAATATTAATTGACCATATAGACATGGGTTTATTTCTGGACTCTCTATTCTGTTCCATTGACTTATGTGTCTGTTTCTATTCTAGTATCATGCTGTTTTGATTACAATAGCCTTGTAATATAATTTCATATAAAGTAGTGTGATACCTTCAACTTTGAACTCTTAAGCATTTTAAATGCTCATTAGAAATACCATTCTCATTTTGAAAATGTTCAGATGTGCTGAAACTGTATCACAAAGCCTTGGGTTTTTATTGTAGTTATTGAAACTTAAAATAAACTGTGTTATAAGACAGAACTAAATGTATACTGACTAGAAGTATGAAATCTTGTGATTGGAGAAGACCTTAGAGGTTAATCAATTAATTCTCCACCCAACCCTAAAACTTATTTATTTATTTATTTGTGTGTGTGTGTGTTCTTAATTGGTAACTCTAGTAACTGGAAGAATACTACTTCATGATAAAGCCTATTTCTTTGTTCAATTACTAATTAACCACTGTTAATTCTATACTTGTAGTTTCTTCTTCCTCCTGTCCTTGTACTTTTTAATGAGTTGAATATTCATATATTTTTTTACCCAATACATTGAATTTCTTAGCTTACTTCACTATTTCACATCAGTATGACATTGTATCTGTATATAGTCATGCATTCAGGTACATAACTGTATCCTGGGCCTAAATATTACATCAAGTTATTTTGTTAGTAAGGTCATGAGTCTGGAACTTGTTTAGGTTGCACAGGAATCTTGGTATCTCCTCTCCCCTTCTTTTACCAAACCATAACTTTATTCTTCATAATCACTAAATCCTTTTTCAATCTTACGCAAAAGAGTTGTTATTTAGGATTGGACTAGATCTTCTCTCCTAACTGGATTCCTTAGTCAACTTTTCCAGTGCTGTGTTCACTAAAGCCTCCCACTGGCTCTACCTTCACTGGAATTCACCTCCCTATGCTTGAACATGCCAATTTAGTGCTCCTGTTCATTTATTTAGTCCTTCATTTAAGCAACATTTAAATATCTAGCCCCAGGCTAAGTAGTGTGGAAGTCTGATTTCATGAAAAGAAGGCAGGGTAAGTGATATCTACAATTGAGAACTTACTGATAATAAAACAAAAAGCTTTTTATAAACAAAAAGAATAGGATCTGAATGGTATCCTTATGATTTCTCACAAATAGCTGGGTAAAATTCAGTTTTACATCTCAGGAAGGTCGAAGGGAGTTGAGATAAGCAGTTATAAGCACTAGCATCTATTGAATGCTCTATCGTTTTCACATATATTATCATCACAACGGTCTCAGGGAGTTTGGTGGTATTATGTCCTTTTTACAGAGAGGAAACTGAGATTTGAGTACTAATTTGAAAAACGTCGCACAGCCACTAAGTGTCACAGTTGGGAATTCAGAGACAAAGTTCTCACTGTTCATTCATTATATACCACAGGTGGTCTAGGGATGAAGAATTTTTAGCTTAATTTAAAATATAGCCTTTTTAAACATTACAACTTTTAACTATGATAACATGAAATCTTAAGAACTATACAGTTAAGCTGTATATAGTCATAAAATGCCTAGAGTGAACTTGAACTTCTCCCCCCAAATCTTAGAATAGAAGAAATAATAGGTACTTTCTCAATAATAAAAAAATGAAGTTTTAGAAGCAGAAAGTTCATTTAAAGAGTGCATAGTCAGCCTATCTGGTTTGACTCAGTGGATAGAGCATCGGCCTGCAGACTGAAGGGTCAAGGGCACATACCTCAGTTGCAGGCTCAGGCCCTGGTCGGGCCTGTGCAGGAGGCAGCTATCAGGTGTCTCTCTCACACCAGTGTTTCTCTCTCTCTGTCCCTCCCCTTCCCTTCCACTCTCTCTAAACAAACAAACAAACAATAAATAAATAAATGGAAAAATATCCTCTGGTAAGGATTAACAACAAAAAAGTGAGTAGTCAAAGTTTGTTTTCTCAAGTTACAAAGGGTAAAAATGTTAAACAGATTTAATAAGGGTTTAGAGAAACACTTTTCTTTCAAGATTGATTACTTAAAAATAAAGATCTCTTTTGGCTACATGACCTTCAGTTTTAGTAATAGACCCAAAATTCTGGGTTTATGACAGGAAAGAATGGAAGTGTTTGTGCAGTCAGGACTTTTTGCCTTACATCACTGTGTGAGAGACACGTGCTTTTAATTCTGTCACTGTGAGAAACCCTCCAGAATATTTCACATAATTTAGTGTCCACAAGACATCAGGTTTTGGTCTGGTTCAGTCACCATCAATCAAGGGGCTTGTGAAAAGGTATTTTTCTTCTTGTAGCTACTATGTAGAGATTAATCTTGCTATTGGGTAATTTTGAGCCTTTGTAAGTTCTATAGCTTTATTTAGAGCAGTGAATAAATAATACTTATTACTGAAGTTGGTAACTTATATGTTGCCATTGTTTCCAACCATGTATACTTCTTTCTAGGATGGACCTAAAGTCAAATAAAAAGCCCCAAGTTCAACTTGGATTCGATTAAGTAAGTTATTAAGACATCCAATTGCACAGGTTTCTAAATTCGTTTTCAGACTTTGTAGACTGGGAAAAGAAGAGCTTGGTAGTACTGAAAAATGAAAGTAACTTTTAGCCTATAGTTTACTTAAAGGCTTTTAATATATAAATTGTCAGAATTTAATAGCAAGGAAATCCTTAGGTTGAGGTTGGAGAAATTCTAGTGTAGGAAATACTGTTCTGAGTAAGTTCTGATTGTAGAAGTTCATCAGATTATATAAAAGTGATATTAGCTGAATTTAGTCACCTTCTCTTTCTACTCCCTCTTCTCATGTTCTTCTTTCTCTTTCCTTCCCCCTTGCAAGTTATAAATACAGCTTATGGAGCTAATGTTGACACATGATAAACCACACATATTTAAAGTATACAATTTGATATGTTTGGACAAATGTATGCACCTGTACAGTTATGACCATACTCAAGATAATGAACTTCATCACTCACAAGTTTCCTTGTGTCCCACAGGTAATACACACTTCCTTTCTGCTGTCAGCATCCTCAGCAACCGTAGGTCTGCTTTCTGCCACTATAGATAAATTTGCATTTTCTAGAATTTTGTGTAAATGGAATCAAACAGTATGTACTCTTTTTTAAAGAAATTTTCTTTTACTCAGCATAATTATTTTGCAATTCATGTTGTGGCATGTATAAATAGTTTGTTCCTTTTGATTGTGGAGTAGTATTAGTTTTCCATTGCGTGGGTATACCACAGTTTGTTTATTCATTTGGGTTGTTTCCAGTTTTTATCTATTACAGTAAAACTGCTGTGAGTATTTGTGTACAAGGATTTGAGTGGACGTATGATTTTATTTCCCTTGGGTTAAATACCTGGAAGTGGGATGGCTGGATCATATGTTTCAGTTTTTTAAAAAATGGGCAAACTACTTTTAAAAGTGCAGTTGACTTTTGAACAACTTGAGGGTTGGGGTGCTGACCATTGAAAATTTGCATTTAACTTTAAACTCCCCACAAACTTAATGAGAGTTGTCCCTCAGTATCTGCAGAGGATGGTTCTAGGCACTTCACCAGTACCCAAATCCAGAGATGCTCAAGTTCCCTATGTACAATAGCATAGAACAATGCATGCACTCGGCGCCCTGCATTCTGATTCCCCACTGCAGATCCAAAATAACTGTTTTCGATCCACAGTTGGTTGACGAGGAGGATGTGAAACCAGGGATATGGAGGGGTGACTGTATATTGAAAAAAAATCTGCATTTAAATGAACCTTCGAAGTTCAAACCCATGTTGTTCAAGGGTCAACTGTAGTTGCATTTGCAGCTTCCAGTGGTGGTGGATGAGTGTTTATTTCTTCCACATCTTCTCAACAGTTGGGGTGTCTGTCTTTTTAATTTTTAGCCACTCTAATAGATTTAGAGTGGAATCTCATTGCATTTGTAATTTTCATTTTTCTAATGACAAATGCTGTTAAACAGCTTTTCCTGTGCTTACTTGCCAGCTGTCTTCTTCAATGCAGTTCCTGTTCAAATCTTTTTGTCATTTTCTTAATTGTTTTGCTTATTTTCTTACTATTGAGTTTTGGGAGTTTTTAAAAAAATGTTATTCTGGATACAGGTTTATTATCTATCTATATATATAAAAAGCCTGTGGTCATGATGCCCTCATGCCATAACGACTGATCACCAGGAGGCTGCGTCCGCGGCAGGCGTGGGCGGGTGGGCAGGGCTGCCTGCGCAGTGAGGTGCGCAGGTGGGCGGGGACTTAACACTGCGTCCCCTCGGGTGCCAGCAGGGGCTTGATGCTGTGTCCCTGTGGGCGCTGGCGGGTCTGGGTCTCACGTGATTTAGAGGCGCAGGTGGGCAAGGCCCGTGCGGGTGGGTGGGGACTTGATTCTGGGTCTTGCGGCGCTGGTGGGACTTGACACTGCATTCCCGTGGGCGCCGGCCCAGACTCTGACAGGAGAGAGGAGGGAGTCAGATACCCGCACCCAGGACTTGACTCTGGGTCTTGTGGCGCCAGTGGGACTTGATGCTGGGTCTCTACGGGCGCCGGCGGGGACTTGACGCTGCGTCCCCATGGGTGCTGGCCAGACTCTGACGGGAGGAAGGAGCCGGATACCCGCAATATTAAAATATTTCCTCTAATTAATCCCCTTTTAATGTGCATGAATTTTGTGCACTGGGCCACTAGTCAGATATATGATTGCAAATGTTTGTCCCCCTATGTCTGTGTCTTATCTGTTATACATTTTAAGTGTTTTTTAAAAAAATATATTTTTATTGATTTCAGAGAGGAAGGGAGAGGGAAGGAGAGATACAAACATAAATGATGAGAGAAAATCATTGATTGGCTGCCTCCTGCATGCCCCCTACTGGGGATGAAACCCGCAACCCAGGTATGTGCCCTTGACCGGAATTGAACGTGGGACTCTTCAGTCCGCAGGCTGACACTTTATCCACTGAGCCAAACCAGCTAGGGCTTAAATATTTATTTTAGAAAGTGAAAGTTTTTAATATTAATGTAGGACAACTTGTCTGTTTTTTTCTTTTATGCATTGTGCTTTTGGTGTATCTAAGGAATTTTTGCTGAACTCAAATTAAATTTTCTCTTATGTTTTTCTCTCATACTTTTATAGTTTTAGACATCACAATTATATTATCCATTTAGAATTAGTTTTTATGTGGTGAGAGGTGTGGATTGATGTTTGCTTTTTTGCATTTGGATATCCTTTGTAGCTTTGCCAGAAATCAGTGTGTGGGTCTATTTCTGGACTATCTAGTCTGTTCCATTCATCTGTTTTGTCTCTCTTTGCACCAGTTTCACACTGTCTTGATTATTCTAGCTTTATAGAAAGTCTTGAGATCATGTAGTACTTACTGGTCTTTAAAATTCATTTTTCTTAAAAAATAAGTTTTAGCTAGTTGAGGCCCTTTTCGTTTCCATATAGATTTTGGTATCTGCTTGTCAGTTTTTATAAAAACAAGTCCCCAGAATTGTTGATTGGGATTATTTTGAATCTATACATCTGTTGGGAGAGTATCAATATTTTAACAGTATTAAGTCTAATGACCCATTAACATGGTATTTTATTTCATTTACATCTTTAAAACATTTATCAGCAATATTTTATAGTTTTTACCATATAAGTCTTTCACATTATTTGTTAAATTAAGTACGTGATATATTTTGATGCTTTAATAAATGAGATTTAAAAAAATTATTTCCTCTTATGTTGTGACTAATATGTAGAAATACAATTGATTCTTGTTTTTTTTGTTTTGTTTTTTTGTTTATTCCCGAATTTATATCTCCAACCCTGACTTCTCCCCTGAAATCTAGACTTCTACAACTGCCTAACCAATATCTCCATTTGGATATTTGATAGGCAACTCAAAATTAAGATGAGCACAAATTGAGATCTCTCAACTTACTACCTCACTTCCCAAACCCTCATCACCCCCAGGATTTATCTCCACAATTGGTCCTATCAGTCTAGGTACACAGGCCAAAAAGTCAGGAGTTATCTTGATTCCTCTTATTTCCTTACATTCCAATCAGTAAGTTCTACTGGTTCTACCTCCAAAATATATCGTAATACCTATGGTGGCCTTCCTTGCCATCTCACTGCTATAATCCTGGCCCAAGCCACAGTCTAACCAGTCTTTCCATATCCATTCCTGCCCCTCTAGGTTCATTCCCCATGCAGCAGAGTGATTTTAAATGGTAAACCAGGTAACCTTACCCCAGAGAATTGCACTGAGAATAAACTTTGCATTTTACTTGCAAAGCTTCACACTATCTGATTGCTATTTACCTCTCCTTTATGGCTCTGCTCTTTGCCTACTGTGTTCCAGCAACAGCAGACAGCAACCTGCTTTCCATTCCTAAACAGATAGGAACAGGTAAACTAAGCTCAGTCAGGTTCTTATGACTTTATACTAGCTATTACCTTTGCATGGGATGCTGTTCCTTTGGACAAAAAAAAAAGAGAGAAAGAGAAAAGGAAAAGAAAGACAGAAAAAGAGAAGGAAAGAAAAAGGAAAGGAAAGAGAAAAGGAAAAAGAAAAGAAAAAAAAAAGCTGGCACCTTGGCTGGTGTGCTCAGTGATTAGAGCATCGCCCCACACACTGAAGAGTCTGGGGTTCAATTCCCAGTCAAGGGCACCGTACCTGGGTTGCAGGTTCCATTCCCACTTGGGTTGAGGTGCCTGTGGGAGGCAACCAATCAATGTGTCTCTCTCTCATGGATCTCTCTCTCTGTCTCTCTCTCTCTCTCTCTCTCTCTCTCCTTATCCCTCTCCTTCCCACCCTTCCACTCTTATGAATTTTGGAAGCTTTTTGTAGATTTTATCACATTTTCTACATAGATTATCATGTCATCTGTTAATAAAGAGCTTTTATTTCTGTCTTTCCAATTTGGGTCTCTCTCTCTCTCTCTCTCTCTCTCTCTCTCTCTCTCTCTCTCTCTCTCATACTCTCTTTCTTTTCTTTTTTCTTCCTTCACTCCCTTCCTCCCTACCTCCATTTTTGTTGTTGTTTTCTTCTTTTTCTTTCGTTTCTTATTGCACTAGCTAGATCCTCTGGTGCACTGCTATTGGATAGAAATGGTGAGAGTGAACATCCTTGTTATGTTTCTGATCATAGGAGGGAAGCATTCAGCCTTTCACCATTAATTATGATGTTAGCTGTAGGTTTTTCATAGATGCTCTTTATCTGGCTGAAGAAGTTCCCTTCTGTTACTAGTTTGTAGAGTTTTTTTCAGGAATGGATATTAGAGTTTTGTCAGATTGTTTTTATACATTCTTGAAATGATTGTATGCTAAATTTTTCTTTTTTTTAAAGATTTTTTAAATAAATCTTTATTGTTCAGATTATTACAGTTGTTCCCCCCATAACTCCCCTCCACCCAGTTCCCACCCCACCCTCTGCCCTTAACCGCCCCCCACTGTCCTCATCCATAGGTGTACAATTTTTGTCCAGTCTCTTCCCCCACCCCCCACATCCCTTTCCACCCTGCCCAATAGTCACTCCACTCCCTTTCTATGCCCCTGCTTCTATTATATTCACCAGTTTATTCTGTTCATCAGATTTTTTATTTACTTGATTTTTAGATTCACTTGTTGATACATGTGTGTTTGTTGTTCATAATTTGTATCTTTACCTTTTTCTTCTTCTTCCTCTTCTTAAAGGATACCTTTCAGCATTTCATATAATACTGGTTTGGTGGTGCTGAACTTTAGCTTTTTCTTATCTGTGAAGCTCTTTATCTGACCTTCAATTCTGAATGATAGCTTTGCTGGGTAAAGTAATCTTGGTTGTAGGTTCTTG